GCACGGCATCCACATGGAAAGGGTTTATTATAGTAGAGAGATAAAGAGAGAGAGGGGGAAAGAGAGAGAGAGGAAGAAAGAGAAAAGGGAGGTAAAGAGGGAAAGTGGAGGTGTGCATACCTCATGGCAGAGAAGGGAGGAAGGGGGAGAGGAAGAAGAAGGGTGGGGCTTTTCCTTAAAAGAGGATTTATGTCAGGATGCAGGGTGGATGCCCAAGGGGAGGGCCAGAATGCCAACACAAAAAGTTTGCCTGAGACTAAAGTGAAGAGTTTTGGATTAATTCCCTTGGCAGGGGAAATCTTGAAACAGCACAGCCTAGTATAGACTCTGTGTGTGGTTACTAGCATTAACTCTATTGAAGATACGTAATGAAAAGGAGCAAGCTGAGCAAGGAAAAATATTTGAGGAGAAAAAGAATACTAGGAAGTAGAATGGAGCTAAGTCCTGCATCCAAGGAGTTAAACAGATTAAGAAATGGAATAAAGGGAGTGGTGACCTCAGGGCAAGATCCTACCCTGCTAAGTTTCCAACTTGTGAAAAGGAAGAGCCAGGTGTGGTGGCCCATGCCTTTAATTACAACACTTAAAGGTAGAGGCTGGCGGATCTCCGAGTTTGAGGCCAGCTTCGTCTACAGATCCAGTTTTAGGGCAACCAAGTTTAGGCAGTGAAGGACAGAAAGCTGGGAAAGATTTCAACTGAATAAGTGTCTCATGTTCCAACTCCAGTAAGCAGCAGCTCTTGGCAGATTTGACCATGTGGTTTTGGCTTTAGAGTTAAGGATAGAAGAAAGGGGTTCTGGAATTTGCCTCCATGACTAAGGAAAGCCACTGAGGCCAGGCTAGTATCAGGGATGTCCCTGAAAGGAGGCCTAAAAAGGCCATTGTTTGAAGCTGTGAAGTTGAAGCCTGAATTGCCTTGGAGACCCCAAGATGTTAGAGATGCCAGAGCTGTGGGATATCTGACTAGGAAAGCTGCTAAGACAGAGTGGAAAGAGCCAAAGAGAGAGAAGTGTGTTGCAGTCAACAAAGCTGAAAGGAGTTGGAGATCCGAAGAGTACTTTGATGCAGAGTTTGGAGTTCCAGAGCTGGTCTTCAGTTTTGCTTTGGTCCAGTATTTCCTCACTATCCTCCCTTCCCTACATTTTGGAATGGTAATGTATATCCTGTGCCATTATATGTTTTAAGTATGCTATCTATTTTTTCCCATTTTTGTTTTATAGGGTATTACATTTAAAACATTGAATGAATCTCAGAAGTGACTTTGAACTTCAGACTTTTAAATACATTGAGACCATTATATGCAACTTTAGGGACTTCGGAAGTTGGACTGAATGCATTTTTACTACAAGATTTGGGGGCCAGAGAATGGAATGTGGTTGATTAAAGGAAAATGGCCCCCAAAGGAAGTGGCACTATTAGGAAGTATTGCCTTGTTGTAGTAGTTGTGGCCTTGTTGGAAGAAAGTGTGTCACTGTGGAGGCAGGCTTTGAGGTCTCATATATGCTTAAGCTACACCCAGTGAGACTGACCACTTTTTGTTTCCTGTAAGTCAAGGTGAAAGAACTCTCAGCTTCCTCTCCAGCACCATGTCTGCCTATATGCCACCATGTCCCACCATGATGATAATGGACTGAAACTGTGAACTGTAAATGACAATTAAATGTTTTCCTTTATAGGAGTTGCTATGGTCATGGTGTCTCTTCACAGCAACAGAAACCCTAAGACAGACACTTTAAGCAGGGCTTACTGGGCAATCCGAGGAGGAGCTTGGAAGCAGTGCTGAGAGCAATGTGGACCCAGCTCAGGAGGTTTTTAAGGGAAGGGCATTAGTTAAGTGCCCTAGCAACCATTCTTGTGATATTGCTATAAAGAATATGGCTGCTTTTTGCCCTTGTCCAAAAATATCTACCAGAGGCCGAATTAAAGAGTTTTGGATGAACACTGTTGTCAGAGGAGATTTCAAGACAGCCTAGTATTGACTATGTCACATGGTTATTAGAGATCACTCTTGTACAGATCTACAGTGAAAAGGAGCAAGTGGGGCAAGGAGAAAAAGAACACCAGGAAAGGTGATGTTGAAGAGAAGTCCTGTGTTCCAGGAGTGAAGAAGTTTAAAGAAAAGCCTGATGCTAATGGAACAAGGAAAGTAGTGACCTCAGGGCAAGATCGCATCCAGCTAAGCTTCCAACTTACCAAAAGGCATTAAAGAAAAGCTTAAGTCTCAAAGGAAACCAACAACTGAAAGCTTATGCAATGTAATAAAATGAGGGTCCCTGGTTCTAACCCAGCAAGCAGAACTTGGCACTCCAGCCAGGTGGTTCTGGCTTAAGAGTCAAGGATACAGGAATAAATGGGCTGAGGAATCTTGCTTGTCTAAGGTTAAGGAAACCAACTGAGGCCAAGCATTTGGCAAGGCAGTACCTACATGAAGGTCCAGAGAGGCCATGCTATGAAGGTGAATCCTAGATTGTGTTGGAGACCCTAAGATGTTGGAGATGTCAGAGTTATGGGATACCTGTCAAGAAAAGCTGCTAACAGGGAGTAGAACCATCCCCAAAGAAAGAAGTATATTTCAGTCACCAAAGCTGAAATGAATTGAAGATCTGAAGAGTCTTTGACATCAGACATGGATATGCAGAGTTTGGAGTCTGCCCATCTAGATTTCAGTCTTGCTTTGGTCTAGTATTTCTTCAATATGCTCCTTTTTCTCCCTTTTGGAATGGTAATGCATATTTGGTGCCACTGTATGTTAGAAGTATGTGATCTGCTTTTTTCTTTTTTTCTTTTTCTTTTTTCTTTCTTTCCTTTTTTTGTTTTTTGTTTTTCAAGACAGGGTTTCTCTGTGTAGCTTTGCGCCTTTCCTGGAACTCACTTGGTAGCCCAGGCTGGCCTCGAACTCACAAAGATCCACCTGCCTCTGCCTCCCGAGTGCTGGGATTAAAGGCGTGTGCCACCACTGCCCGGCGTGATCTGCTTTTTTAATTTTGATTTTACAGGGGGTTACAGTTAATAGATTGCCTTGAGTCTTGAATGAAAAAAAAAGAAATAAAAAGGAAAGGACATGACTGCTCCTAGGTATGGTGGAGGAAAAAGTTTATATAGATAAAAGGGAGAGCATAGCCAGAGGCAGGGCCATCTGGGAGAGTCCAGAGTGGACATGTCATACTGAGCTGGGCCATGTCAGGGGTGGGAGGGGAAGTGTTGGGGAATATTATTTTAAGATGTGTTACTTTGTTTATGTTGCACTTGTTTAACTCTGTGAAACTGTGTTACTGTACTTGTCTAAAACATCTATGGTCTAATAAAGAGCTGAATGGCCAATAGTGAGGCAGGAAAAGGATAGGCAGGGCTGGCAGGCAAGAGAATATATAGGTGAAATCTGGGAGGAGAGAGAAGCAGCAGCCAGAGAAGGAGGAGGACTCTAGGGGCCAGGCACCCAGCTACACAGCATGCCACAGAAGAGAACAGAAAAAACACAGAGGCAAAACATAGGATAATTTAAAGTTAAAAAAGCTGGCAAGAAACAAGCCAAGATAAGGCTGGGCATTTATAATTAAGTATAAGCCTCCATGTGTGATTTATTGGGGAGCTGGGTGGTGCCCCAAAAAAGAACAAAAACAAATAACAACAGGGAAGAGAGAGGGGAGGGAGGGGAATGAGATGGAGCAGCCAAGAGACCAAAGGCACAAAAGGGGCAGGTAACCAAAATGTCTTAGATTATATAGGGAAGACCCTGGGAGGGGGCAGCCAAGCCTCTGGGCTCGAGAGTTCAGAGCAGAGGACAGGGTATGCCAGCCATACCCTGTAACAGGTGGGAACTGAGGGATGCTAGGAGTACCTGGAGGCCAGATCCACTTTGATATGTTAAGTAAGCACCTCAGTTTGTCCTGAGTTTGAACCTTAACAAAGTCTCAGAATAATTATGGACTTAAACAGTATTGATATTGAAAGACTATGGGGATTTTTTGAAGTTGGATTAAATTAAATTCATTTTATATGGCTACAAGCCTATGGGAGTGGAATGTGATGGTTTGAATGAGAATGACCCCTATAGCTCATATATTTATATGCTTAGTCTACAGTTGGTGAATTTCTTGGAAGGATTAGAAGGTATGTCCTTGTTGAAGGAGGTGTATTCCTGGGAGTGGGCTTTGAGGTTTTAAAAACCCAGGCCAGATCTAGTGTCTATGTCTGCTGCCTGGGGATCAGTTTCTTCTCCAGCACCATGTCTGCCTGTGTGCTATGATGCTCCCCTCTGAAACTGTAAACCAGCTCCTAATTAAATGCTTTCTTTCATATAAGCGATAGTTGGGAGATTTCCTGTGTCCCACCTGGCCCACAATTGGGACAAATCTCTCACCCACCTAGTGTCTGGCTAGCAACTCCTCACTCAGCCTTTCTCTTCCCAAAATTCTCCTTGTCTGCTCATCCTGCCTGGCTACTGGCTGTAGCTGGAGTTTTCTCCAGTCCCACTGGGGCCCGCAGCCACTAAGATCCAAGTAAACACACAGATACTTATATTACTTATAAACTGTATGGCTGTAGCAGGCTTCTTGCTATCTAGTTCTTATATCTTAAATTAACCCATTTCTATTCATCTGTAAGTTGCCACGTGGCTTGTGGCTTACCAGTACTTTACATCTTCTCATGGCGGCGGTGGCTGGCAGCATCTCCTAACACAGTCTTCCTGTTGCCTGAATTTTCCTCCCTGCTTGTCCCGCCTATACTATACTTCTTGCCTGGCTACTGGCCAATCATCATTTTATTTATCAACCAAATCAGAGCAACACATTCATAGCATACAGAGCGATCGATATCCACAGCACTTGGCCAATCAGTGTTTTATTTATCAACCAATCAGAGCAACACACATTCACAGCATACAGAACAACATCCCACAGTACTAAGCTGCCTTAGTCATGGTGTCTCTTCAGAACAACAGAACAGTGACTAAGACAGACTCCAAGTACCATTAATTTCAAGAATCAACTTAACACTGAGTAAGAAAACAAGTATTGATTATTGTAGTTACTAATTACTTGCTCAGTTCCCAGAAGACCTGTAGAGAGTCAGAAGTGTGGAGAACCAGCCTTTCTTCTGATTGATTTTAGCAAAGGCCAGACAGTCAGCAACCATCAGGCTGACAGCATCTCACACCCCTGTGCAAGTCTATTTTAAGCTTCCTGGCTAGAACCTCTGAGGCTACTGGATCATCTGCTGTGTGCCAAGAAAACAACTTAAATGTTACTGCCACTTCTCCCTGTGTTGGTATCTCAAAGGCATCTGTGGAGGAGAGACATTTTGTTAGTTTGTTTGCATGGTGCTTTCTTTGTGCCATAGTTCTTTTTTTCAAAGATCCTGCTTTCTCTTTGCCTGTTCCTTCTCTACAACAATCCTAGGTTGTTTTAGTGTTACTTTTCAACACCTTTCAATGTTGATATACCAACAGGTTCTGGTGGCTGAGAAAGTCACAGTGCAAAATCCAAGGTTTTGTCTTAGCCCTGGCCACATAACAACACATAGCACTACTGAAGGAAGCCCAGCTGGGCAGCCTCCATCCAGAAAGAGAGTTAAGAGCATGCCAGAGGAGAAACAAGGCAGAGAACCTCATCCAGTACACAGGCGTTGTAACCGCTGTAGACTGGTGTGTTACAATGTGCATGTCACTCAATCATGTAACTAGAGAATAGAACTTACACCTCTGAGATTATTTCAAAGTCATCACTCTGCGGAGGCTTTATTCCAATTCCAGAAATATCTTGGCATTCAATCTTGATGACAAATTCTTTTGACTATATTTAGTGGTGGCAAATAACTTTTTTTTTTATTTTTGAGAATCAGCATTATTTTCAAATATAGCCAGGTCATTCAGAATTCTGAAGAATAAGATGGAAAAATCAATACCATCCTGGTATAAAACTAAAATGTTGGATATAGTAAAACAAGTTAGAATTTTCCATGCAGATATGAAAATTAGTTTGAAAAAGAATTTTTTTTTTTTTTTTTTTTTTTT